GGAAGATTACTGACGTGTGTCACTGGGCGCTTCACCCCTAATCATTTTATCAAGCGACAACCGCGTTCTGGTTCAAACATTGTAACAAATTATTTTCCATGTTGAAGCGTGTCATTAAGCTGCGTTTTAGAGAGCGAGCACACAGCGAATTAATTTTACAGAAGAGATTGGTACTGAAATGTATCGACAGGACAGTGGGTGCGTCGGCTGTTTCATAGCTGTATTTAGCTGCGGATGAAAAGAGAAGTCTGGATGGGAGCAAGAGTTTTGTAGAACGACCGAATTTGGATGGGTTCGAACATACTACTGTTGAAAAAAACGTGGCCTAAAACTGTTGCCACAATCACGAACGGAAGGGCACTTATTTTATTCTATACTAGGAGAGGAAATAGTAAAGCTGCTTAGACAACACGTTGACCGTCATTTTGTTGTAGCTATTCTTACATTTTCCTCCAAATACGCACATCCTTGAAAGCTGAGAGAAAAAGGGGGATGAAGGCAGTGTGGAAATGTTAACCGGTCCTAATAAATTTCGCGTTTGTGGTTCGCAGGATTCTGTTGATCAGTGGGCGCAAATTAGCTTGTGCGCACTGCTCCGCTTGAATTAATGGTCTAATTTGATTGGTACCACAAATTTACACTCTAACTTCGTTTTGCTGAAACTTGCCTTTTCCCTTCGATTTCTGTATGAGTTAACATGCTGTGACTACTGCATCTGCGAGGATTGGTGTGTATGCGGCGTTTACACACGAGGCGAATTGAAAACAATGTGATCATATGCATTTATTATTTCTGATTATTTTGACATAAAACGGACCAGTTAGAATTGTACACAAACTAGTAGAGATAACGCAATAGGAAAAACCAAGACAGTTGCCAAGAAGAGCGAAATTGGCTTGTAATTCTCAAATATCATAAATTGTAGTGTGATGAACAACAGAAATGGTAAACGTCATACGAACGAGTAACTAAAGCGACATAATATTTTCACTTTTGTCCACTCAACGAACTTAAATAGACATGGGAAAACCAATAAGCATGTGCGTCGTCTAGCTTAAAAGGTGTCTCCCCTAGCCGGCATCCATGCCTAAGTCCGAGTGCCAATGAGGCTGATGATCCGTTCACAACTGAAACACAAGCAAACGTTTCTCGGACATAAAAGAATAAAGCAAATTTAACAATTGGCTAAGCCGTGAAGTTCATTCGGTGGATTTCGGTTGAGTCTACAGATAACCTGCGGAACAGACAACTGACATGCCCATTGGTTTTCATATCTCCGTGATTTGGAGGCAAGGTGAGACCAAATGTGAAAGTATATGACCGTAGCCTAGTTGATAGTGTGTGCTGTGCTACGTCAAGGGCGTCATTTACATGTGGGTTCGAATTCTACCGAGGCTAATTACTTTCCGACAACTTGAACAGATACCTCTCAAACATCGATTAGGGCAACATCCATAAGAATGATACGTTACCCTAGTGAAACAAAATAGTCGTGCATAAAATAACAGCTCTGCGGGATTTCACCCAAACAAACTAACCGTTAGAATGTTGAACTGATGACCAAATTTGTAGTTCACATTCAGTGTCTTCAAATATTCAGCAAAATCACGATTGAGTTCCGGACCAAGCTGGATGTCGTTAAACATGCGGTGAAATTTGTTGGTAAACTCGTATCCACAAACCGCTTTCAACTGTCCAATAACAAGCTCTTCCAAGTCCATTGCCGGAGGCACGTTGGATATCAAACGTTTGAAAAGCATTTTCTGGTAAAACTGGGGAAAACAGAAGAAAACATTGTGATTACGAATCACTCCAAACACCTGGTCGTTTGCGATCGAGATCACTCCGAAGAGACACACCAACAGTCAATGCATTTATTCGCTGGAATTCACTTAGTTCAATCAAGGGCTTTATCAAATAGCACATGAGAACCTTTCAATATCCGTTGGTGCAGGCGCCATTGGCTTGAATGAGCGATGCTAAGCCAAGTGAAACTGAACGGGCTCATTCGAGAGTAATATTTATTCATCAATAGATGACAGGGAAAATCACGTCCTTGAAAACCTACTGCGAACCACTAACCTCCGAAGGCCTCAGTATGGTCGGAGAGGGGTTTCCTGGGGATATAGTTGGTCACCCTCGCCAAATGCGACCAGGCGCCTCCAACAGCCTCTGCTGCCTTTCAATGGCGGTGTTTTCTCATCAAAGTCAGAGGACGAAAAGTCAACATTTTGGGCTATAACCGGGTCGGTGAAGCACTAGCAGTTCATACAAACCAACCAAGAGTTGTATGAACCACACACACTATATGAATCACAGGTCGAGTTAGGGTGGTGGTGGCGCAGTGGTTTAGTAGCTATCAACGGCGTGCTTTGAACCCTGTGGTCCGAAGTTCGAGCTCTACCACTGCCACCCAACTTAGGTAGTATAAAGTTTTGCTGTCACCCAGTTCTATACCACTCCTCGCCCAGAATGGTCTTGTGGTTCACCACTCCGAGTCCCGGGGCTTGAGTGGCTGGTTACCATCATTGAACAGCAGGTCTTCGTGACTATGGGGTTTCATCCCGTCTGCGGTACACCACACACTGGTATGCAATAAAAAAAAGTTGTGCGATGGATTGTCCAATCTCATAATCCAGTGCAAAATTTGACATCTACCACAACAGATGGATCTGCGAGTAGCCTTCAGCACAGAATTAAGTGGCGTTGGATAGTGTGTGGGAAGATTGTAGCTTGGGATGCGGATGCTGGTGTAGGTGTGTCCTCGGAGGGTATACCAGAACACGCATAGAAGACGTTCAAGCGAGCCTAATTCATATACTGACTCAATAAAGAAAGAAATCAGGCACACCCGGGATCTATTTTTGTGTAGCAAAAGAAGAAAGCATCAAACAGTCCAGAAGAAACTTACTCGTTGAAACATGTCCTTGTCATCCAAATACTTGAAAATTGTGATCAATGACTTCAGTTTTGCTTCGACTTCCGATTGGGTGAGTGATTTGACAGAATTTCTAAGTAAGGAGTCCATATAGCGACTAAGCAGCTCGGATGGGCGAGTTGTTGGCACAGTTCTGTGGAGTTTGTGAGAGTGGCAAAGAAAAATATAGGAGAATAACGATTTTTCTGTCGATTCTCCTAGAAGGTCAAATCATGGTTCAGTACAATAAGAAGGAGATGGGTCAAATACCGACCCATATATCCGAATATATTATAAATACTAGGCCAACCAGAAAAAAATAAGTACGGAATTGACTTCAAGTTGTTGTTAGATGCATTCCATAGATAGGCACGTGAGGATAAAACCCAGAGAAGTGCAAGCAGTTTTTGATCGATCCAAAGAAGTACAGCAGAGAAAGGTATGGAGAACAATGCAACTTGTGAACAATTCAGTATGCATAACTGGGCAGTGCAAAATGCAAGAAATGATATTAAACACACACTGCTTTTTCGCAATTTCTCTGCAATCGAACCACCAAGATTGATCAAATTTGCATAAGAAAGAGGCAGCCCATTACCTGAACATCAAGACTACGGACTAATCCAACCGACAGCAAGAACTTGAACCCTGTTAAAAATGTCGGGTTCATTCACGAAGTGGGTTTACCAGAATGGAAATGCATTTCACGCTGTTCATGGATAAAAAAGTTATCCTTAACGAGTGGAACAAATTCCATGTTTCGATGATCAGGAACATGACTGAAAGTATGTCTGAGCTTTGGGTTCCAATCACGAATAATAACGGCTGATGTGTTTTGTAACCATTTGGATATTTTCATCGTTTTCCTAGAGTGGGTTAATAACAGTGTGCAGCCCGGGAGCACATTTTCTTGGATAAATCAGTTTAGTAAAATCATAACCATAATCCATTTGGTTTCTCAACACCGTATTCGCCTCCATACGAGATCTGATTTGGTTCTGAGAAACTGATGCCTCCAAATGCCTCAGTATGGTCGGGAGTGAGTGTCTCGGGCTCCAAAATGGCCATTCGTCCCGAACTCCTCTAGAAATGCTCCGAAAGGACCAAGCACCTCAAATAGCTTCTGCTGAAGAAGTCCTACCCACAGCCTTCTCGTGGCCGTGCTAACACTAAAGTGGGAGAGCAAAGGCGAATGCTCGGCGCTTTCCACCGGGTTGACTGACCACTGGTAGTCAGTCTAGTGGAGTTGGCTATACTCTGATTCCAAACCACCCACACCTGGCGTAAGAAGCTCATAGTGGCACCAATCTTCGGCGCAACC